ATCGATAGACATTATAACTGTGAATGGTTAGGCTGTAGTAAAGAATTTGGAAAGAAAAACCTTCTCTTTAACCATCTAGAAGAGCATCTTGGGAGTGAATCAGACATGTTTTTTCTTACACTTTTAATTAAAAGACCAAGCAAAAGCCTTAAATGTTCCATCAAGGCAGATGAGATGGCACTCTTTGGTAATAAAATGGTGTCTTCGAATCTATTCAAGATCACATAGCTTGTATGCTGATATATGTGACTCTGGTTTTTTAAAACTACCTAGTGGAAGAACTTTGTCAGACTACAAGAACTTTTCAAGCTCAAAATGAGGATGGCAATCTTCAGTCCTTGATGCAATGAGAAACAACTTCAAGGAGCAGGGGTTTTCTGGTGTTGCAAAGTTGGGTGGTTTGTTTTTTGATGAGGTTAAGATCAAAGAAGGCTTATTATTTGACCCATCATCCTGGGGGTTAGTTGGCTTTGTTGACTTGGAGAGTAGAGATGTTGCTGGTACTGAAAATATTCAAGATAGCTTGGCCCACACATTTTACAATTTTATTTCAAAAGTGTCTTTGCGAATTTTCAGTATCCATGTGCATATTTTTTAACTAAAGGAATCTCAGGGCAAATGCTCAACAGAACTTTTTGGCAAGGAGTTGGTTTACTCCAGGCTTATGGGTTCACCTCAATTCTAACATGCTGTGATGGGGCTGCTGAGTACAGATCATTTATGATGATGAACTGTGTTGATGAAACAGTAAGTCAAACAAAGAATCCATTCTCTGATATGCCTTTATTCTTCATTTCTGATCCTCCACATTTAATGAAAAAGCTTCGCAACAACATTTATAACAGTGGCTCCAAAGCTATTTCCCCAAGATACACCAGGTATTTGTTGTTGAACTCAAAACCTATATTGTGGGAACACATTTATTCAGTGTACCAAAGAGACAAAAATAGACACCTATTTGCCACAGATATGAGAAGCTCGCATGTCCATCTTGATAGCGTAAGCAAAATGAAAGTGAAGCTCGCTGTTCAAGTGTTGAATGGCAAAGTACATGTCAGAGAGAAATGGAGGCATTTGATCCAGTTACCACAGAGTCTACCCGGTTATTTATCCATCACTGTGATCTGTTATGGAATGTCCTAAACAACAATAAACCACTTTCCACCATTACAGATTCTAGGATACAGGATCTTGATATGGTTTTGCAATTTTTTGATAATTGGAGAGATGATCTTCACTTCTTGTGCAAAACGAAATCTGAGGTCTCATCACACTTTATTTCCTGGCAAACAATGTTTGATCTAAAGGTAGATCACTGTGTTTGAGTTATTTAATTTAATCCAGCAGCACTACCTGTCACATTTATTGCTTCTTTCATGTACTGCACTTCCAAGCTGTTTCGAAAATTAGTTTTTTGCGTAAAAAGCAGGGAGGAGTCCCCCCTTCACCATGAAGCATGCAGGATCTGAAATTTGCAGTATCCCAATGTCCATGGGATACTAAAATTTGGTTTTGGTAATTTGGTTTGAGTTTGCCAACCAAGCCTTTCCTCATGTTATGTGCATTTTTGTGTAATTAACCAATTGTCTATTTGTTGACTGTTGAATCTCCTAAAAAGAAAAAGTTAAAATTTCAGACCCGACATTAAACCAGATAATCACGACAGACTACTTTAGTTAAGTGATTTTAGTTTGAAGTTGGGGCCGCAGTAATTGGCTTGAGCTGTTGCGGATTCCCTGCCATGTGCTGATAATTAATATTTGTACAAGGGCTAAGCTATTAAATTAAATTAAACTATTAAGTTAAGTATATAATAGCAAATTTTTTTTGCAGGTTTCAATCAATGGCTTTAAAGCTCTGGTGCAATTTATTGAGAGTCCACTGTTCCAGTCGAAGCATCCTGGTAACCATTACATAATTCCCAAGAGAATTAGTCAGGATGTGGTAGAATCATTTTTCTCTGTCCAACGTCAGTCTTGTGGGGGAACTAACAACATGACAGCCTACACCTACGGATATAACATTAGCAGCACCCTCGGATCATCGACAAAGCTTCTATCCAAGAAGGAAACAAACGTGTACAACACTGATGATATAGAGTTTGGTCACTCAGAACAAAAGGATTCCGGTCTTGCTAAGAGAAAAAGTGTTCAAAACATAATAGATCGAAACCTGTGGCCCATACATCTTTAGTCAAGCCATGTATTCTTGAAACTTCTCATTCTTTCAGAGTAAAAGCACTATTATTACAACACTACAAAATCACACTTTGCTCAAACATTTGTGGTAACAGCTTGGTTTAAAACTAGCCCAACATAGTAACAGTAAGTTTGAGAGGAAAACTAACAGTGCTGGTTTAACCTTTTCCGGGGCAAAACTTATTAGGGCCGGTCACAACATGCAAATTAGCCTGTGAAAAAGTCCGATTTCTCCGGCTAGATCGGACCATGGATGATAAAATAAATGGATAGGAAACTAGCTGACGTGACCTAATGTTTTCAATGGGATGATGGCGTTGTTGGATGTTGAGAAACCTAGTTGCAAACCAAATTCTCAAAAATGACATGCTTAGCAATAATACAGCTAAACATTTTAGTCAAAGAGCAAATAAATATAACTATGCCATTCTACGATGAAATCTCTAAGTATTTCCAGTCAATTTTAGCAAATATTTCAAGCACTAAACAGTGAAAAATGCATCCCAAATTTCGTTAAAATTGGGGACGCCAAATTTCGTAGCTACAAATTAGACTGTGAAGTCAGCTAGAATCCTATCCATTTATTATCCATGATCGGACATATAAAACTCGTATTGCAGTTCCTCCGCTTAGAAAATGCTGAAATTCAGTTAGTTTTGTTTAAGTGACCGTATGCCGTATGGTTGGAATATTTTATATTAAAAATGCATGTGCGAGTGGTGAAGATATTCCAATTTAACATTGCATATATTTGTTACTGTAAACACTGAGGTTAGTGAGGTTGATGATGCCCCTTAGATAATCCAGCACTGGTACTAAGTGGGGTTCTGCTACTTGTCATAACTTGCAACTGAGAACTTTAGCTGAATTGCAAGGACACAGCTCATTGTTATTGGGTTGAAGGCTTTTTAGGGCACCTCTGGTAGCATTATTGACTATTAGTATAATTTTAGTATTGAAAAATGGCCTTTGAGCATTCCAATTCGCTCCCTCAGCGGTAACTCTGAGGCAATAGTTACTGCTCAGAACAGTAGTAACTATAGTTATTGCTTTTCTCAAAAATCGGGTGGAAGTAAATTATTTAGGGAAATTATATTCATAAAACAAACATGTGTATTAGTTGCATTTATAAATAAAACTTTTTCAATACTGAAATTATGCTAAAACGATTAGTCGCCTCAGGCTCGATGATTACAAGCCTGATTCAGTTCGGCTCACTGAATATAGGCTGGTAAGCATTCTCTGTGTGCGAGGTACCTGGAGAAAAACTATGTTTTTCACAAAAATGTCATGACTCCATGTCTTGAGCCTATTAGGCAGTAATCCTAACCTGCCCTGTTCAAACATTCTTTGTGGGGAGGAAACCGGAGTACCCCGGAAAAGACCAGGTTTTTACAGTAATTGAAAACTGGAAAATTTCAAGACATTTTAGAAAATATGTAAGTATCTGATTTATAGTCATCTCAGAGATGAAATATTGTCATTTTTGTGTTTTACACATGAAGTAAAGAGTCATTGCATTGCAAATGGGGATACAGTATGTAAGATTTCAATCAAATTAACAATTAAAAGTGATGTTGTATAGAAATATTTTAGATATTATCCTTCATGTTATGATTGTCAAAAATGAAAGAAATGCATATCATGTTTAATGGTGGCAAACAAATTTCTGGACATAATTATGTTGTTCTTAGGTTGTAATAGGGAGGACTGAAAAAACAAAAAGCCCTTCCATCATATTTTGGTTTGTCCAGTGAAATAATTATGTCACAAAATACATTGTTGTTCACATCCAGTGTATAATGACTCCCATAACGGCTTCTTTCTACAGCAATATTGTTAATTGGTTGTTTTTGCAAACACTACTTTCTTTATGGAAATTTTAATTGTGACATTGGAAGCAATATTCTTGATTGGTACTTGGGTTACGTATTAACCCATTCAATGACATTACCCTACCACAGACAAGTAAAATCATCTGGCATTAGACAGAGTAAAATACTAAGGCATATTGCCAACTATTGGGTTGAAGCCGTTTCCTGCTGGTTGTGAACTCAAAGGACCTAAAGTTACTTTTTTCAAAACTGTGTATTGTCCCACTGATTACAGTACTGTAATGTCACCACTTTTTAGAAGTTCAAGTAATAATCCAATTTGTCGACTTTTTTTCTTCCCCAACAGTGACGGCTTGCCCAATGATTTTAATACTTTAGAAAGTTCTTGGCCAGTCAGTTCCCCCAAAATCTTTTCTTGCACAGAGTGGGAGTAGGTTGACAATGATTCCATAAAATTAGTGATATGAACTGTTGACAGATTCTCTGACCTTAACTGTAAAATTTCTTCACTTGTTTGCTTTGCTTTTGAAGTATGGAGACTAGAATGCTTTAGTTGTTGTCGAATTGCCATGGACTTCTTATTTGGTTTTAGCCCTCTTTTCTCTCGAATTATTTGCTGCTTTGATTTGATGAAAAAGGTCACAATATTTTGCAGAACAAACACTGATGTTGCATTGGGTGTTGTTGATGTTATGTCATTCCATTTGTCTCTTAGCTCCTTATTCATCGACAATTTTTCAAGACAACTGGTCAAAATGTTTCCTTTTTCAAGTGCCAGATTTCTAAGATCAATCAGGCTTTCAACAAGATTATGAAGAAACAAAAAAAATGAAACAATATTCTTGTGGATAATAAAGCGAAATTTTCCATCCGGTTGCTTCACATCCTCTCCCATGGTTGCAATTATCTTCATTGCATCTCCTTTATCACCATGAACAACCTCTGACCCACCAACCGACTCTTTAGCTCGAACATCACTTTCACCCTTCAAAATGTTCTCCCTAGTCCGTTTAATGACCCAACCACCATGGTCTCGAATAGAATCAAAATCGCTTTCATCACAATAATTCAGTGATTCTCCAGTGCCACTTTGACTTTCTCCATCATAAATGCTTTCCACAATAGTATTAAACTGGCTCCCACTATTCAAAGACCAAAAGTGCTGCAGAATTTGCTGCAATAATTGCTCTGATGCTTGATGAAAATTAGTGTTCTCGCTTAAGACATCATAACCAATAAGTTTTCCCCATGACTGTTTGATTGCGTAATGGTAAAAACTGCTGGACCTTGTCATGCCAAATTCCCTCTCCAAAATTACTGCTTTCTTCTGTCGAGTTTTTTCCACTTCAGCCTTGGTAAAACAAGCTTCGACTAAACGTAAAACGTCTTGCAAAAACTCTTCCTTAAGAATAGACTTGCTTTCGTCCAATACTGCTTCCAATGCCAATGTTAAAATATCTCCTTTGTTTGAAAATATATGTGATGTGTTGCCTTCACGAAGTGTTTGCAAAAACGAGACCAAATTTTTTGCTGTAATAATACTTGACGATATACCAGATAAGTCATCATGGGAGTCGTATGGTTCGGAAATAGTAAAATCACTTTCAGAATCATCATCTGAAGAAAATTCGTTGTTAACTAAAGCAGAATTAAGGACAAATGATGATTCCGAACTGCTCATCTCGGCCGCCATCTTTAATTGTTTGGCCGCCCGAAAATTAAGGCAACGCATCACACATCGATCAGCGCGCCTATCCTCGTTTCGCCGCCCGATATATAAGCGCCCTGGTCATTACGTTCATTCCAATGCGCCATAGTATACAGGCGATATACGATTGATCACTTTGTAGGGTAGGGTAAGTGGGGAAGTGAAACATGTCACTCCACCGGTGCAGGACATTTATATAGCTCAGTGGTGCAGGTGCAGGTTTACTATATACTCATAAACAACTCATTGGTTTCATATTCTTACTACAGCTTCAGGCCTGCAGCTTTGAATATGGTTTTAAGATGGCCGAAAAGGTCCATGACTGTAAACACTCGCCGTTTTTTTTTACCATTACACTCGTCGTTTTTTCCCCTTCAAAATTACACTTGCCGTTTTTTTCTTCAGAATTACACGCGACGTTTTTTCAATGCAATAATTACACGCGACGTTTTTTCAGTGCAATAACTACACGCGACGGTTTTTTCAATGCAATAATATAATTACACGTGACGTTTTTTCCAAAAATTACACTCGCCGTTTTTTTAGAGTTACGTTTTTACTTAATTTGCATATGCAAATTCATTAATTTGTTAGCGATTCCCAGCAGCCTTTCGCGCTCGTATTCGACCTTTCCGCTTTGCTCGTGGACAACCTTAATTGAAATAGCTGTATATACTATACATATAGTATATAAGCGCCCTGGTTATACGCCAAACGTAAACTTCAAACGCCAGTTTTAATTTACTACTGCAGGCGTATATACGATATGGCAAGACACAGTTTATATATGAAGAAGTGCAACAAGGAAAATAAATATACGACCCTGGAAAAGCACACAAAGCTTTTGTTTATATAGTTTGGAAAACACAAAAGAAAACAATGCATTATATTCATAATTAACTGACTGAAAAGTGAAATTTTGTACTGTATTTACATGATTTTTTGTTTTGATGAAACACACTAACGTTATGATTTCTCCCATCTTCATCCGAAGTGAAGCCCTCAGTTTAAAACCTAACTCTAAACTAGAGTCTAAAAACTAAACGGCGAGTGTAATTATTGCATTGAAAAAACTTCGCGTGTAATTATTGCATTGAAAAAACGTCGCGTGTAATTCTGACGAAAAAAACGGCGAGTGTAATTTTGAAGGAAAAAAACGATAAAAAATATTTATGCCAAATTTCCAGCACTGTACAGTATAATACACCGATATCCATATCGGTGTATCAGTATCTGCTTATTGGTAATTTCGTTCTTGATATTACCAAATAACATCTAAGTAAACTAAATAACGCTATCTACTTTGTTGCATGCATTAACTGATTTGCAGCATTTTATATTTTCAGTATTTAGAAACAAATGAATTTGGTACTTTTGAATGTATTTAAAAGTATTAAAATATAACTGTCATGATGTCATTTTTGAATTTTGTAAAATGACTTAGAATATCAGTACCGGCAAAATGTCGGTTATCGGGATATTGGTGAATTTCCATAACGGTGCATCACTAATAAGTGTAATACTTTTTATCGTATAAAGTTCCTGGAAAGTTACTTCACACTTCGAACAAGGGAAAATCATAAATTCAGTGCCAAAGGCTTAACAGGGAACTCAGAGATTATTTCAGTAAAAGCTATGGCCTGAACATGCGTTCCTCGTTAAACGATTCAAGATACTTCCATGTCATTGGTTGTCTTCCACCCGATGCAATGCATGATATCCTGGAAGGAGTGTTCCAATACTGTGTGAAGGAAATCTTGATGGTTTATATCATGGAGAAGAAGTTCTTAGATATTGAGACAAAAACTACTTTCAAATGATCATAATCTGAAACAGCATGGTGAGTATATGTAACTGTATAATAATTACACTGGGTAAAATATGTTCAAAATAACCAGTTCATATTATTAGTCAAACCCATGCAGTTTTAAAAGTAATCTTGTGATTAGTTTGCAAATTTTAGCAACTGGTATATTAATTTAACAAATAAAAAATTTCAGTTTACCAAACAACCTTTGTATCCCATACAGTTTTTTCTTTTTTGCCCAGGGGCATCTAAAGATTATAAACTAAATAATAATTAAGGTGGCTCGATAGGAAAAAAAGTTTAAGCACTAATCTTTCACATACAATTGGGTTTTTAAATAATATCAGGGTATTTTCAGTTGTTTGGGGGGTTTTATAAAATGCACCATCATATTTTGCACTCGTAACCATGGAAACCGCATCTGTTTTTTTTCAAAATAACCCTATGAAACGGCTTTGTATACTGGTTTTTATTGTTGTTTTGTTAAAAGTGTGCATCTTTACAAAGAGGACTGGTAAGTAGATACAATTACATTGCCTGGTTAACAAGTCAAAATTCAAATTGAAAGAAAAAGCTGGAAAACAAATTTGTTAGAGTTGTATTTTTCGTTAGAAATGCCTGATAAAAGAAATTTATTCGATTGAAAGAAAAGAAACGAATGTGTCACTGAAACCGTCATGTCAGAGTCGAAGAATTACCTGATTCTGAAGCTTCTAAAGAGGAGAAAATTGCAGAAACAAGTACGTCAAATTTGACTACTGCTTCAGATGAAGTGACATCATCAAACGCTTCAGAAATTAGGTCATTGCCTTCCTCAAAAAGGATACTTGACTATGATTTATCAAGTGTGGATGAAGAAAACTGTACTGATGGGTTTCGAATTATAGATATTGATTTTGATGTCCATTTTCAACACCTTTATATGCCCAAAAGGTAAGTTGGGTCACATTGTTATGAAGGAAGACATAACTGCAAAGATGGGACTTGACACAACTTTCGCTGGAATGTTCTGCCAAAATGTATTCATATTCTATGAATTTTTATACATCAAGTCGGGTGAATAATATGTATAAAGCTTTTGACGGAAATAGAAGGGCTGTGTGAGTGAGAAACATTGGAGTTGGTCACCAAGGGCTTGTGAAGTTTTGTGGTGCAGTGAACATGTTGGCACCTATGAATTCAAATTTATACACCAACCATGTGAGTGATGTGACAGCTATTCATGGAGCTGCTGAAGTTGTTGCCAAGGCAAGCATGAAAGTGCAGCTGAGGAGACAAAGCAGTTTTATGAACCAGAAGAAGATGGTGTGTATGATATTGGTTATTGGTATTACTGCGGACGGGACCCGGAGACGAAGGGGATATTCGTCTTCCTACGGGGTTGTTACTGACATGTCCTTGATTACCGGAAAAGTGCTAGACGGTGAAGTCATGTCAAAAGAATGCTGGGAGTGTATTACCTGGAGCAGCAAGAAAGGTTCAGAGGAATTTGAACATTGGTGGGAAGGTCATCAAAACAATTGCTCAAACCGGGGTGTCAGACAAAGAATATTGACAACCTGTCAGAAGAGGAAGTTACCCAATATGAAGCTGGGGCATTTTGAGCCCTAAACCTGAACTGATTAGTTATACCAAACTTTACGACTGATTTTCTCAATTTGTCATTTTCGGGGCTTTTTTGTAGCCGATATGAATATGACACAAACAATTGACTCTTTAGCAAAAGAGTAACTATTATCTGGACACTTGTGCAGGGTAAATTGACATGTTCAGAAGAATATTTAACATTCAGTATTATACTGTACATATGTAATAAACGAAGATTGATAATTACACTGTTGCATGGCTGGTAACAACAGCTTAAGGTGTAAAATTAAAGGAAAATTGCCAGCAACTTTATTTTATTTATGCACCTACATCAATTGTACTCACAACCTCAAACTTTAAAATGATAGTGAAATGTGGCGTGTCTTTCCTCTTCAATTCATGTCAGTTCACCCAGATTGGGTGGTGAATTTATCGTTATTGTAATATTGATTCCTATTAAACCTTTGCAAGTTAGGCTTAGGTCAGCTGGGCTATCGTTCTTAATGCAAAACAGCTGCCCCCTGTAACGACTAACTACATAGTACCCCAAGGTCAAGATACTTGGAAATCTTACCTCATTTTATGCTTTTGAGTTTTACTTACAGTGTCCGTAGCTGGCCCATTTTATTAAATTGCTGGATTACTGGCACGTGTTGTAGAAGTATTAAAACCAATAATCCTATATATTGAGTGCATTTTGAATGAAAATATCCCTCATATGGTTCAAAACAACCTTGTTTATCAGAACCAGTGTCAGTGATCCAAAACCAAGACTGGCGGCTGATCGCTCCTTCGAACTTGCAAAATTATTATAAATATAAAGCCATTAAATTGTCGAAACGTTTGCTCAAAATTCTTCTCGTGTGATTCTATTATCTTCGTGGTAAGAAAATTGCCCCGATCAGAAATACGTAGAAAGCAAAATATGGGAAAGCTATGCCTGGTTCGTAATCTGAATAAACACAAAGTTAAACTATCAAATTTATCATAAAGAAACAAGACGCCAGAAGCAAAAAAAGGCCAAACTCAAATTCGCAAAAAAAGCCAATCATCCCTTTCGTTATTCAACTCCCAAAAAGGAGCTAAATATACAAAATACGGTTTTAACTCCTTGTGCAAGATTAAATGTAACTCTTGTGTAGGATTACTTTTGAGCTCTATCCTTCCACCGGAGTTGTTATAACCCAATAAATGGAGTTAATTTAGCTCCAATAAAACAACTCGCCCGAAGGGGATTAATTGTACCCTCTTCTAGGAGTTGAATCTACCCCTTAAAAATAACAGTGTATGTGCCAATCAACATATTGTTAACATCCCCCACCCCAGGACCAAAAACACAGTTCAAATACCCCCACAAATCAGGCAAATTGAATAATTTTAGTAATAGGAAAATAGATTGGATGCACTAAGTAGGGTGCAATGCGACTTCAGGGACAACACAACCTTTTTTGGATTGGGGGGCCTAGGTAACACTGAGTTTACTAGGGGTTTCTGGGGGGCATGCTCTGAGACCTCTCAGAGCCCCTGAAATGCAATTAAATTTACTAGTTTCTATATATTACCCATCAATTGTTTAATCTAACCAGAAAAAGATTGAATACTTTGCTATATAAATATATTGTTAACTGATCTGAACAATTTCTGTGTTATTAGTTTATAAAAATCACATATGTATGATAAATTATTGGATATCATTCCTAGTACATTTTAGCAAAACTCACACACTGATGTCTAGTATTTTTTATAGTAGCTTTATTAACCCATTTAAAAACTGCAGAGCTTCCCCATTGACAACGTTAGACAAGTAAAAAAGATTAAGTATAGGGCGCACTAGGGAGCATTGCGGCTGAATGGGTTAAAACATGCCGCTCATTTCAGTCACTTCCATTTGATTCAATTGTTACTAAACAAATCCATTGCATGTAGGTGCATAAACAATTTAATTAACGCAAAAATCTCACATCTTGTAACAAGTCTGCCAAGAAGCCGTCTACAAGATAGATTCGCACTGCTTATCACAAGTTGTTAACAGGTTTGGAACAAGCTGTTAACAATTTGTAACAACCTTGTTGATATTATCAGGCTTGTTACAAGGTTGTTTCAACAAGTACGATACAGTCATGATATAGCAGTATTGTTACAACCTTGTGTCATCAACCTTGTAACATTGTTATATATATCATGGCTGTAACAAACTCGTCAGCACAGTCTTGTAACAAGGCTGATAGTGCCATCAAGCTTGTTACAAGTTGTTAACAGCTTATTTCAAACTTGCTACAACAAACTGGGAACAAGCAGTGCGAACACAACTTGTTGACAGCTTGTGAACACAGAACAGACTTCTAACAACCTGTTTGCGGACTTGTTACAAGCTGTGCGTTTTTACGCGTGAAGTTGTCAATAACTCGTGGGTGACTCCAGGGTGCATTCCATGCAAACTCCATGCCGAATATATGCCAATATTAACTATATATACTATTGCAATGTAGTGCTTTATGCACCCTGGATTAATGTCCATTTTCAGATATAGCAGCTGTATATAAGTTCTTTCATCCATCTTTATCGTACTCATATATAGCAATAATTACATGCTCTCCTCTATTAAACTGTCAATTTAATAGTTCATGTCCTTGTCTCACAATCTTGAATTTATAAATCCTTCAGAATTCAGATATTTTTAGACATGAGACACTGACCAAACCATTGCCAATAGCGAATTAATTGACTGAAATCGACCAACCAACGTAATTACAACTTGAGCAGTGACTCACATATTTGCATTGCCATGCAACAAAAGTCCAAAAATGTAAAACGATTGCCGCTTTTATCACAGAGCAAGCTACATCTTTATACAATGTTTTTAAAAATCGAACTTGTAGTACGCCATTTTGAAACAAAAACGAGTCCAAATGCTTGTACGTGATCGTTAATCACTCTTTACTTTATGTAATTTTCCCTGAGCCGACGGCGCGAAGCGCCATGCGAGGGTACTAATCCCCCCCGGCTATTTACACCTGGGGAAACGAAAGCATTAGCGAAGTCTAAAGTTCATTTATCGCCGGCGGTCACCAACCATCGACGATCTTGAGTGGGTGGTCATCCTCGCTTATCTCAAAAATATGGCAAGCAACAGGTGGGCAATTTGTCGACCCTGACCAAAAATAGCGGCTCATTTCTTCTTGAGTTGCCATTTTCGCGTCGAAGAGCAAAAATCAGGGCCTTTTTTAACATACAAGCTGGGGAGCAAATGCCCCCCAGTCCCCCCTTGTGACCCCCACGAAATCACATTTTGCCCCCTCCCCCAGGAAAAGTCCCTTTTCCTAAAATTATAGAAACAAACCAGCGAAGATTAACAAATACATAAACGGAAAGTAAGTTTTAGGCTTTATCCTTTGTCCTTGTTTAACAAAATCGATTTAAATTGTTACTTTTTTCTATCACTAAGTAATGATAAATTATTGTTAATAATTTTTTTATTTTTTGGATGCTCAGAATGCAGGAAATAGCATTTCCGGGTTTCAAATTTCAAAAATTCAAAAATTTTCTGGGGATTATCCCTCTAATAAGTAATGATAAATTACAGTTAATATTCTTTTTCACTTTTTGTACATTTTTTCCATCTTTTATTTCAAATACAAGTATAGTTAGCGTAAATTTTAGAGCAAATTTGGATGCTCAGAATGCAGGAAATGGTATTTTCGTGCTTCAAATTTCAAAAATTTTCTGGGGGAGTACACCCCCACACACCTGACCATTGCCATCCTCCTCTAATAAGTAACGATAAATGACGGTTAATTTTTTTTAACTTTTTGTGCGTTTTTTCCTTTATTTATTTCAAATACAAGTATAGTTAGCATAAATTTTGGAGCATATTTGGATGCTCAGAATGCAGGAAATGACATTTCCGGGATTCAAATTTCAAAAATTTTCTGGGGGAGTACTCCCCCAGACCATCCCCATTCATGCGTGGTATATTGGCCACACACGTAACCTTCAGCCATTGCTATCCCCCTCTAATATATTATCTCACAGAAAAGTCCCTTTTCAAAAAATGCCCCCCCCACGGGAAAATCCTTAAAAAAGGCCCTGGCAAAAATATAGACTTTCGGAGAATATTTTAGCTGTTTACTATCAAATATGTTTGTGAAACAGTTCATAATCTCACTGAGGAAGGCCAACGGTTTCTGAAAAGCTAAAGTACGTCGAAATCAGCGTTGGAATAGACTATATTTTCATCGGGGAAACATGAACTAAATGGATATTTACATCAACACTAAATTTCGCTCGTGCCTACAGAGCTAGTTGGATTAAAACAGATGTTAAGAAGTAAGTGAAAATGTGAATTTTGTGGATTATACTTTCATTAAAATGTTTCAGAAGGGCTGCTAATGTCAAACTACACTAGCCAGCGTGGCCGGCTCTTTTATATTAGAGCCTGCCCGAAAGCCCTAGTCAAATTGATGCCGCCCACTTAGTTAATATTCCATATTAACACCGCCCACTCGAAATAGTTTTGTATAAATTGATGACTTAAAATTTTAATTGTTGCATATTTTATACTATAGCCTGCGCTACATGCTTTCAATAAACTTTTTACAATAGATGGATAGCGATTCAACTGCCTGGAAACACAAGCAAAACGTCGGCATTTCGAGCGAAGGCCCTTCGACTTTGTGTGGAAATTAGTAGTAGACGAAGACCGTTCAAAATTGTATTATGCTTCGCACCTGTATGGCTGTACTACAGTTATAAATATTGCAGTATTAAATATAATGACTTAGGAAAAGTTTAAATAGACCCCTTCCCGTGTTATACACGTTGGCAGGCAAATGTATTTTAAAAGCTCCAAAGAGAGCTTCGTATTATTATGGTGTATTAAACACAATGGGGAATGTGTATTGTTTTATATAATCGTAATTTGCCAGCCAGCAAAATATAAACAAGGCAAGGACAGCCAAGGTTTTATACTCTATACTATAGTGACCATACGGTAAAATCATACGACATATGCAGTAATAGCAGTATGGCTTGCCGTATTCTGTTTAGATACCGGTATATGTTATACATTTTACACTTTGTCTTTTGAATTTTATATTTTATATTTTAGCCGACAGGTTTACAACTTTAATATAGCGACGCCGTTTGTTTTTACTGTATTTATTTTTAAATATTTGAATAAATTAGCGTAACATGTCAATCAAACTGTCGTCAACGTAAATTCAGCCAATCACAATTCTCGGCGGCTGGCTGCCGAGGGTCATCAATTTGACTAGGGTTTTCGGCAGGCTCTACTTATAAAAGAGCCGGCCACGCTGGCTAAACTACACGTGTGACAGAGCTGTCAGTATACCCATATTTCAATGTTTATGTTGAAATGACCCATCTTCTTTGAGGTATAACTTAAAATTAGGGTATGCTCATCACTTGAAACTAGCTTTAAATCAAAGTTTTATCTATAGTCTTTTTACTAGAATTGAAATAATTCATGGGAAAAATGTGCCAGAGGGTTGAAATTGCCCTTGTAAATGTACACTATTTTTGATATGTTTGGGTTTACTTAGTATTTTGAAAAGGTGTTCTGGAAGGAAAATATGTCTTGAACAATACTGGTTGACCCTTAAATTATAACTAGTGTTATGTAAATCACAGAAAATTGAAAAAAGTCTGGTCCATACACAATATTTTGGATTCTATGAGGTCCCGAATGCGGCTTATTTCAATGTTTAATCTGTTTACCTGGAAAAACATAGAAAATTGAATAAGTCAAGAATTTGACTATGCTCATCACCCAAAACCAGGTTTTTGTAATTGCTTTTTCACCTGGGTTTGTGGCAATACCAATTATGCGACCACGAAAAATGTGCGCGGCACTTTTTTTGGACACTGAAGATGACAACATTTGATGTTGTTATATATTGCCATCCTCTTATCATAGTATAACTTAACTTATTTTAGTGAGTTTGTTAAAGACTTGTGCTCACTATATGCTAGGCTCAGATTCCAGCCGTTGTGTTCTCGCCACTCGCCCACTTAACGGCTGGGTCAATGAGCTTCGGCATTGTTCTGATTGACCAATCACATTACAGCCCCCCAAAATTTGGGGGGGGGCGTAAATTTGTATTAATAATGCATAAATTTAACACAAAGTAATAAATTAAGTATGGCTAAAGAGCATTGCTGAAGCGTTCGAGGTCGGCGTTGTGCAAATATGTGCACTTAAAAAGATCTGTTCAACGATATTTATACGTGAACTACATGGGTTAAAGCGACATTTTTTGGGGAAGAGTAATTCCGACGATTTTTACGACACGAACCGAAGTCTCTCTACGAATAATAGTCGCTGGAATGTTTTCGTCTTTTCGAATCCGTTGCATATTTTTATATTGTGTTTATAAATAATATATCTCATCGAGGATTCTTGGTCATGAAAGGGCGAAGAATATTTTGCGTGTGGCTGA